GTGTTCCTCCTGCCCACTCTGAGGTCCCCTTATGAAGCGGCCTGGACCAGGGTCTGAGAAGCCCCTGTCCTGGGAGAGGGCACACAGTTGGACCTCATGGGTGATCCGTTACATTGTTTGCACTCATTTGGTGGACAGCATGTGACTTGTCAGGAACATTTTTCTTCAGTGTTGCAGCATGTGGCCAGTAAAGGAAATTTAATCCATATGTGTCAAAGATTCACTTACACTTAAATCATTAAAGCATTGTTCTGAGTTTTTTGATGTCTAACGAGTCCTTTGGCTTTTTCCAAGCAGTCCTAAGTCCTTTGCCAAGGGCAAGCCTAATCCCCAGCACCAGAAAATTCAGGCTTTTTCCTTGAGTTGAAAACCCTTTCCTCCATCTCAGGGAAAAATTCCTCAGCAATTCAGCATTTACCTGCCCCCATTTCTGAGTGTCTCAGAGGAGCAGAGGTCTGGAGGGGGAAAACACGATACGGCCTGAGTTACACATCTCGCCCTGATCTGGGTCTGTTTTCGAACTTGGCAGGAGGGATAGGATGCATTTGACTTTCATCTACCTCTGCTTCACTGGAAATGTTGTGGGGCACAAAAACCAGACGTTTCTGAGCTCATGTGGTCGATGGACATGGAATGCAAGAAGCCTCTCTTCCCTGAAAGGACTTAGGACAAAATATTAAAGAGCATCAATCCTCAAAGAAGAAGTATGGCATTTCTTTTCTCTCCAAGACAAGAACTACTCAGTCCCTGTTGGATTAGAGTCTTACCAACAGCCCTTTGTTCCTCACCTCACTACTAACTGCAGTTGCCTCAATTAGGGTTAGGGCTGGTCCTAGAGTACTGCGGTGATGCAGTGACGGCTGCCCCTGGAGGGAGCTTCTCTCAGCATCTCCCCTTCTTACTCTTTTTTTGGGCACATTTTCTGTACTCCTACCCTTAGAAATCTTTTCTCAGAAACTGTCCCAGGTCCTTCCTGTCATTGAGAAAAACAGGAGATAAAAGAAGTCCTATGCTCAACCATTGTGAAAGACAGTGTGGCGATTCCTCAAGGATCTAGAAATAGAAATAGCATTTGACTCAGCAATCCCATTATTGGGTATATGTCCAAAGGATTATAAAGCAATCTATTATAAAGACACATGCACAAGTGTGTTTACTGTGGCACTGTTCACAATAGCAAAGACTTGGAACCAACCCAAATGCCCATCAATGATAGACTGGATAAAGAAAATGTGGCACATATACACTGTGGAATACTATGCAGCCATAAAAAAGGATGAGTTCATGTCCTCTGCAGGGACATAGATAAAGCTGGAAACCATAATTCTCAGCAAACTAACACAAGAACAGAAAACCAAACACTGCATGTTATCACTTATAAGGGGGTGTTGAACAATGAGACACATGGACACAGGGAGGGGAACATCACAGGCTGGGGTCTGACGGGGGGTGGAGACCTAGGGGAGGGACAGCAGGGGGTAGGGGGATAGGGGAGGAACAGCATTAGGAGAAATACCTAATGTAGATGATGGGGTGATGGATGCAGCAAACCAACATGACACTTGTATACCTATGTAGCAAACCTGCACGCTCTGCACATATACCCTAGAACTTAAAGTATAATAATAATAATAATAATAATATAGAAGTCCTAGCATTGTTCCTGAGAACATGCTACTTCCCCAGGACTGGTGACCGTTGGATTATGTCTCTGTCATTACTCCGTCATTTCTGGTACAGTGCCTGGCCCACAGTGGATGCCCAAGTAATGTTTGCTGAATGAATGTGGTATCTTTGGACATAAGAGAGTCATGATAACTCCAAAAGGCTGAGCCCTTAATGGTGAAATTTCAGCTGCAGACCTAATCTTAACAAACATCCTGGTCTTTCTGTATTTCTTCTAGGGGTTTCATTCATTCAAACCTAGAATGCACATTAGAACATACACAACTGAATGGTAGCCCACAGGACAATGCTTTCGAGTGGACCTTTCTCTACTACTCTCTAATCACCACAGAGAAGTCAAAGGTGATCCACTGCTCAGGACAGAAGGAGGCTGACCCTTCTCTGCTGTTTGGCTCGGGCTTGTGTTGAGGCAATGCATGAGGCCATCACTTGCTACCTGTGTGATTCTAGTTTCTTCTTTCTGTTGACGTTCTTTCCGCTGTAGGGTGAAGGCTAGACTAGGTCAGTTGTTCTATACCTTTCATCCTATATGCACGTTTTCTGAGGCTATTCTGACTTTAGAAAGGATTAGGTTTCCAGTTATTTGGAAGGGGGACACAGCCAGATTATTTCTGGGTCTCCTTGCTAGTCTCTCAGCAAAAGTTTTGAAAACTCATGTGAGCCAAATTGGTCTGTTTTATTTGGTGATTACTGGGTAGCCTCCCACAGTTAAATGGAAGTGATAACTGGATGTTTCTTTCTCCACACCCTAGTCACCAGGTGTTACGTACCAGCGAAAGTCAGTCTCAGGCAGAATTCTAGAATATAATTGGATGTTTATCAGTAAGCAGTCATGTGGCCTGCTCCAGTACGCTTGATGAAGGCTTTGTCCTTTTAGGCACTTGGACTAGTGCCCTGCATGAAAGTTCATTTTAAGGCAGACAGGATAATATTCTTGGAATGGGAGGAAAAGCTCTGAGTTTGAACAGGTAACAGAGTCCACCACAAAGTGGTGGAAGGCTAGATGAGACCTAGGGTCTCACACTGAAGCTGAAAGTGGTGGAGATTTTTGTACTTTGTTTGTGCAAAAGTTGAGGTGCCTGCATACAATTTTCATCTGACCACATATCTGGCGCACTCCTTATTTTACCAATGAAAATTTATTTAATATCCTTTGTGCTAAGTGATGTTCTGGTGCAGATTTGGAAAGCAATCTTTAAAGTTGCTTACAGCAGGCTTCTCTGGGAGATTTCTTGGTTAGGATGTTTTAAATTGCTGATTGCCCTTTGGGAGTTCAGGTTAAGGTTCACACAGAGATATAAAGCCCTGTTTGCACAAAAAGATTCCTAAAGACACCATAATACAGTATTGAGAACAGATAGTCTCTGTGTTTCTATCACTAAAGATGATTAGGGTCTTGCTATGTGTACAAAAGAACTGAAACATCAAACCAAAAGCCATTTGTAAGAAACTTAAGAGAGGGTTTTGCATGTTTTTTTACTTTAATGTCAAGCAATACTCTAAATTATCTCAAGCATCTGCTGTTTATAATGTGCTTATTTTAAATAAAAAATTGAAATAATATTTTTAAAAGAAAATTATGTAATCTTTTTATTATTTACTACATAGTTAATTAACATAGGTATTTTTAAGTCTTCAAATGAAATATTTTTGAATCAGTTATTTTGATAGTTTTAAAAATTATCTAATGTGACCCCTTTGTGAATTGATGTATTTGTATAAAAAAATTCATTTTTGTTACAACAGGGGAATTATTCACCTAACTCAGTCAAGCACAACTCTTACATTTGTTAGCAATATAGTAATTGTATTCTCACTTAGAAGATTGTTTTATTGTCATTATGTATTTAGATTTTCAGATACAGAATTAATTGCTGTCATATCTTGCCAAAAATTAGACACATTTCCAAGCAATCTACATTATTTATTCACAATCTGAGCATTTTTTTTTCTAATATAAAGAGGTCTCCCTTTTATCAGCCACATGTAAATTCTGACGCCAAAGCAGATTGTTGTATGGATGTGATGGTTACGTGTGGAGGTGGGACTACTGCTTCATTCATTCTATAATTCTCCCTAAGTGCCTACTATGTCCCAGGCACTATGCTGAGCACAGGATTGAATGTGTGGTTGCAGCAATAAGCTGGCAGGTGTGTCTCCAGCCCTGTGGAGCTACAAACCTACCAAAGGAGAGGTGTACATTGGTTTAATGGGCCAGATGACAATCTGTGTTGCCCACTCTGAGTTCCACTGTAAGGTCTGGGGTTGTCTTGTAAACTTTGTTTGTTATCTTGTAAACTTGGTGTGTGTTTGTGCGTGCGCGCACACGCACACGTGAATGCACGCGTGTGATGCAGGGCGGTGGGGGGATGGGTAAATATTATAGCAATTAATTAATTCTGCATGTAAAATACTATATGCATATGATAACATACACAAAGATAGGTGAAACTATCTTCTATGTGCTGGGCATTACAGACGTCTCTCTGGGGAATCACATCCACTTTCAAAATATTAATTGCTACTCAAATACTGATGATTCCAAAGTGTTAATATGGTTCTGACTTTCCCCTAGAGATTTAGACTTGCATATACAAATGCCAGCTGTCTCCACATGGCCACGTCTCAGGCACCTTAAAGGCAAAGTGACCCAGGGAATCCCATCTGTCCCATTTAGACCTGTGCACCTCGCTCTCTTTTCGGTTGACGGTGCATCAGTGCTGAGGCAGAAACTTGGGAGCCTTTCTGAACTTTCCCCACTCTTTCAGATCCACATGCAGTACAGCATCCTGATCTAGCTCCTCAGTCCTTGTGGTCATCACCTTCTCTTTATCCCTGTTATTTCTGTTGTTAATATCTCTGTTGCTCCTGCTGTAGTGTGAGCCCTTGTTGCAGACCATCCCGAGAATCAAAAGAACCCGCTGTGTGATCTGTTCCCTTCCATTTATCTGCCTCAGAGTCAAACTCCACACAACCCAGAGAATAACTTACTAAAGTAGCAAATTCAACCAGGCCCTTCCTTGCTGATATTCCTCAGTGGCTTCGTATGCACGATGGCATCGTATTTCTACTGTGTGTAGGAACCCATCACTGGGTTATGAAGTCAGGCTAGTCCTCTGTGACCAGAGTTTTAAAGAAAAAATTAGGTAGGATAAATTAGGATTGAATAGGCTAAAAAACAAATAATTCTTTTACTTTTTAATTTTTTGTAGAGCTGGGGTCTCCCAGTGTTGCCACTGGTGGTCTCCAACTCCTGGCTTCAGGTGACCCTCCCACGTCAGCCTCCCAAAGGGTTGGAATTACAGGCATGAGCCACTGTGCCTGGCCCAGATAATTCTTACAACACGAGAGGTAGGTAATGTTTGCGAAATTTTTGTTTCAGGTATGTGTGTGTTACTGGGTAGCTATGAAAAACGTATTTTCTTTTTAAACTAGGAATCCTGATTTCATTTTAAAAAGCTATTGATGTAAAGAGCTTCTCAAAATTTGCTACAGAAGTACACTTAGAGACTGCGGAGGATGAATGCAATCCCCAGAAAACATGGGACATCTTATTTATAAGAGAAATTATTTTCTTCTTTTATCCTTACAGTTTACTAAACTTTTAGATTCTGCTCATTAGTAAACCTACATTTTCCTGATTACAAATAGGATTTTAAAAATTACTTATCTTTAAATATGTTTCTTCATCCTGAGGGTTTGCAAACTCCTGCCACACCACCCGGGGTCCTCATTTCTTGGTCTCAAAGCCAGACCCAGATGTAGCTGATCAAGCTCCCTAGCTCAGGTCACACTGCTTTCTGGTGGCTGCCCCTGGCTACTCCACCAAGGCACTCCTCTACCTGGTACTTGGGTTCCAGAAATTCTCTGGCATCTCTTTCTATTCCATGACTCTTACCTTCATTCTTTTGTCCTTACTCCAGCTCTTAGATGAAATGTTCAGCCTCCTTCCCTTCTCCAGCTAACTCATTTTCCTGTGTCAGAGCTCAGCTAAGAAGTCAGTTTCCCTACAGGAAACCTCCCCACCCTCCACACTGCTGAGGGGACCACATAATTGCACTACCCTGCCCCACGCTTGCATATGTGAGATGATAGGGAATACAATTATGTTTTAGAAGTTCTGGTTGCTTTGCATTTCTCTAATGACCAGTGATGATGAGCTTTTTTCATATGTTTTTTGGCTGCATAAATGTCTTCTTCACATACTGGGGCCTGCTGGGGGGGGTGAGGGGCTAGGGGAGGGATAGCATGGGGTGGGGGGATAGGGGAGGGATAGCATTAGGAGAAATATCTAGTATAGATGGCAGGGTGATAGGTACAGCAAACCACCATGACACATGTATACTTATATAACAAACCTGCACGTTCTACACATGTACCCCAGAACTTAAAGTATAATAATAAAATAAAATTACATTGCATAAGGAATAAAATATCTTACATATATTTAAAGAAAAAATTCTGGTTGCTGGTGACCTGGGCTCAGCCAGGCACAATTTGACATTTATTTCCTGGCACACTATGGCAGCAGACTGTTATCTTGGGCTATTGATTTGTGTTGTGCCTGTTGCACGTTCTGTTTCTCCATTTAAGCAGGTGGCTTAAGACATTGGAATCTTTACCTCCAGGACGATAGGAGAAACTGCTTAAGTGAAATCTTTCTGCCTATTTTCCAGTGACTGTGTGAATTGTACTGGATGGAATGGAGAGAAAGGGGTGGGATCGTGGAGGGTACCTTTGTGGACAAGCAAGAAGAAAAAAGAGAGATTCCCCAAAGGGGACAAAGGCAATAAAGCTTGGTAAACCTGGGCAGGGTCCTGGGCCAGCAGAAGGATCTCAGAGATGGGACAAAGAGTGTTGAGGGGGCTGGACCCTTTTACAAGGTCTCCAGCCTGGCCAAAGGCTCCTGATCCCCAAGAGAGGCCAGAAGGTGTCAGAGCTGCTGGCCGTAAAGGGATCCTGTGGGCCAGGACATCAGGTACCGCAGTAGAAACCAGAATAGTGGTGTGAGATGGTTGAAGGATGCCTTCCTGACATTCCAGGGCCGTGTACGGCTCAGCTCTGGGAGGCAGGAGCCCCAGCAGGACTGCGATAGCATTTTCTGTGTGTGGGAATTGGTCTCAAATTGATTTAAAGAAAATAGAAAGGCCGGGTGCAGTGGATCATGCCTGTAATCCTAGCAATGTGGGAGGCCGAGATGGGTGGATCCCCTGAGGTCAGGAGTTTGAGACCAGCCTGGCCAACATGAGAAACCCCGGCTCTACTAAAAATACAAAAATTAGCTGGGTGTGGTGGTGGGCACCTGTAATCCCAGCTACTCAGGAGGCTGAGGCAGGAGAATCGCTTGAACCTGGGGCAGTGCTGGTGGAGGTTGCAGTGAGCTGAGACTGTGCCACTTTACTCCAGCCTGGGCAAAAGAGTGAAATTCCATCTAAAAAAAAAAAATAGAAAAAGTGGTTCTTCTTACCCATCTAGCTTTGTGGGCTAATGTGGGCCAAGACTCACATCTGTCATATTATTGATTTTGGCTTTATATTGAATATTTTGTTGTTTTCTAATGGATAGCTGACATTTATGTACATTAGTACCTTATGTGCATAGACTTATTCCCACAATTCTTACAAGGTTGGTCCTATTGTGATCTTTATTTTGCAAACGAGAGAATAATGATAGAAAGAGTCTGCCCTAATTTCCAGCTAGTAGATGGTGGAATGGGATTTGAACCCAGGCCGGCTGGATCTGGAGTCTGGTCACTTCCTGCTCCCTCCTCCCCCCCTCCCCCCACCCCGCCCCCTGCCATGCTGCGTTGCTGGTAGATGCCACTTCTTTGAAGACCATGCCTTGTGCTTCCATTTTCTTCATGAGGCTTAAACTCAGTGAAGGGCATCAGAGGTAATCAGCCATCATGGGCTGATTCTCTGGTGGCTGACATCATAGGAATTTACTTTCCTGTGAAAGGAGCCTGGCGCCTCTGCCCTGGATCTGCTGGACACTGTCTGGCTGAGAGGTGAGGGTGGTTAGAGCTGAGCTCTGTTCAGCACTGTGCTCAGTCACTTCCATGCTTTCTGCTGCTCGCCCAGCCCTGGGAGGAACAGCTGGTCACCTTCAAGCCGTCTGTGTGTCCTCCCCATGGTTTTGGTCTTTCAGGCTCTGGAGGGGTGACCGGGCTCTGGAACTCTGTGTCACCGTCACACTCCTCTCTTTGACACACTTTGCAGTGTGACTCCCAGGAGTGATTGCCGAATGAGCCCCAGGGAACCCGCTGATGAACAGCAAAGATGTTGAGTGCTGGGGTGGTGACAGAGGGAACCCTCTAGACAAGTCCTGATTTTTGTTGGAAGACATTTAAAAGTCTCATCCAGGCTGGGCGCGGTGGCTCAAGCCTGTAATCCTGGCACTTTGGGAGGCCGAGGCGGGTGGATCACGAGGTCAAGAGATCAAGACCATCCTGGTCAACATGGTGAAACCCCGTCTCTACTAAAAATACAAAAAATTAGCTGGGCATGGTGGTGCGTGCCTGTAATCCCAGCTACTCAGGAGGCTGAGGCAGGAGAATTGCCTGAACCCAGGAGACGGAGGTTGAACCTGAACCCAGGTGAGCCGAGATCGCGCCATTGCACTCCAGCCTGGGTAACATGAATGAAACTCCGTCTCAAAAAAAAAAAAAATAAAAAAATAAATAAAAATAAAAGTCTCATCCAGTGCAGAGAGACAAGGCCCCCATGGGAGCCAAATTCCCTCTCAAACTCACAGTTTTATTTCCAGGAGAAGAGGTCACTTTCAGCGTTTGTAACTTTAATTTGAAATTAAATGTGCCTTTGGGACAGAAGCACTCTGTGCTGGGGGTGTCTTCACAACAAGGGTGACAGTGTGAATGCTCACAGCGCGCCATACCAGGGCCTAGCCAGGGACGACAGAGTGGTGATTCATGCCATCTGGGGCCTGCCGGGCCGTGAACTCCGGGAGGAAGCTGCGTGACTGAGAGCTTTTGTCGCTCAGGGGCTGGAGGGTGAAATACGAACCCTTTCTGTTTCCTTGCCTTGTTCTCATCTGAGCCCAGGCAGTGGCCTGAGCTGAGGTCTGGGAGACAGGCAAGCAGGCTGTTTCTGGCAGGCTCGTGCTGGCCTCCCACAGAACCATGGGTCTCTTTCTGCTGTCCCTGTCAGGCTGACCCCAACCCGCCCAGTGTCAGGAATGTCAGACCGCCTCTCAAATTCAGAGCAACTCTTCAAACACGAATAACTGCAGGCTGAATCGGCCTTTCCTGGAAGATTCAACCTTGGCAGTTTGGGGTTTTGAATTTGGTGGTTTCTGAAAAGCACACACGCAGCTGCAGAGGAGGCTATGGGGCTACGGCAGCTCCATGCTGGGCAACCGATCCCACAGCCTGTGTGCTGCCCGCACTCCCCAGCCAAGAGGGAGGATAATGAGTAACAGGCTGTGTCTCTCCAGGGACTGCTGGAGAGAACTTGTCAGGCACTGGTCCTCTGGCCTTTGCTTTAGGTTTCATGTATGTTGAGTTGTACAAATCTACCTCCCCCGCACATCGCCACATCGCAGAAACAAAGATGGCCTTTGTTTTTCATGATGACATCACTTTTCTTCTTTTTCTTTCTTTTTTTTTTTTTGAGATACGGTTTCATTCTGTTACCCAGGCTGGAGTGCATTTGTGTGATTACGGCTCGCCCCAGCCTCGAACCCCCGGGCTCAGGTGATCCTCCCACTTCGGCCTCCCAAGTAGTTGGGACTGCAGGGGCACACCGCCAAGCCCTGGGTCATTTTTGAAATTTTTATAGAGACAGGGTTTCACCATGTTTCTCAGGCTGGTCTGGGCCTTGGCCTCCCAAAGTGCTGAGATTACAGGCCTGAGCCACCACATCCAGCCACTTGTTAAGATTGAGAACAGAGTTGCTGGCCCTCCTTCTATGTAAGCTCCCAGTCTGTCTGTAGAGCCCAGCCTTAAGGTAACTGTTCCCGCTGCTCAGATGGCCCAAGCAGGAGGATCCCAGGAGTGATATTGGGTACATTGGTCATCCCCCTGCCTCCCACCTGAATGGAAACAGTCTGAGAGCCCCCTCTGTGGCTTGGTGCTAGGCAGGACCTTAGGGCTTACAGGTGAATTGATGGGGGAGTTGAACACTGACCTGCGTCCTCTTCCCAGCATGGGACTTGAATGCTGCTACTGGTGCACATTTCTGCAGATGTGTCTCTGGCTCTAAGGATGCAGAATGCTGGTGGGTCCAGTGTAGGGGCTGCCAAAGGGGGTGTCATGTGCTCTGTGGATATTCTTACAATTGTAACGGTCCCCACTGAAGTGTTTCTGTTTGTTGCAGTAAAACCTCTCCTCAGTGTCTATTACCTTTCTCTATATTCTTGGTGAAGGAGAGAGATGCTCATAGGGGCCTGAATGAGGTAGGAAGAGCAGAGGCTGTTCTCTGCTTCCTCCTCTTCACCAGTATTCCTTCTGCCCTGTTTTTCCTGGCAGGACCAGCTCTACTCTGGGCAGTCCAAGCCTGTGAACCAGCCACACCCAGGATCTGTGTTGGAGCTCAGTCCTGGACTGTTTTGGAAGAGTCGCCCAGAGAAGCAGTGTGGTCTCCCATTCAGAAACAGAGTACGGGATGGTCTCTCTGAAGGGCAGAGGGTCTGAGCACTGCCTGTTTCATGGCATCTGAGGCCGAAATGCTGAATGATGCAATGAGAGGATTACAGGGGAGAAAAGGAGTTGTATGTGGGCTTGATTCTTCGCTCCACAGCTAGTGGACGCAGCAGGAGAGGTGGAGCTGGAGGCCAGGCCCTCCACTGACCCACGTGCACTCCGCCTTGCAGTTGTGCCCTGGGACAGGCTTCTAATCTCAAAGTGTTATGAATTCCCGCCACTGGACTCTGCCCTACTTCTGAATAATCCTTCTTGGGTTGATAGTAGCCTCTCTTATTTCTGAATATTGCTTCTTATGGGCAGCGCTAGTTAGTCATTTTCCTTTAACTTTTTGATTAAAGAAGACCTGTAGATACGAGCTTTTTGTCAGAGATGATCTCTCCAGGCCCGAGTCTAAACTGTTGACCCTCTCTCAGAGAATGAGGGCTGGCTCTTGAATTTCAGGCGCTTTGGCATTTACTGAGAAAAAGAAGGAGAATGGAAGGAGTGCCTGTAAAGCGCTGCCCTGAGCATAATGGCAGCTAGACGCAAGCCCACAGCCCGCAGATGATTACACTCTCCCAGCTCGAGGACAAGCTGTCCAATTTCCCAAACACCAATCTGACCATTGTCGAATGATCAATTCGCTGAATTAGATGGATTTACTAATTTACCAAATTACTCATTTCTTTTATGCATTTCTAAAGACTTGAGCAATTGGCGTGGGCTGGGTTGGCAGGACCTGAAAGGGTTTGGGGAGTCAGAAGCAGTCGTCTCTGGGAACAACCCTGTGGGTGGCGCCACTCCCCAGACCGAGAGGGGCACTGGCTGGATGCGTGAAGAGTCAGAGGCTTCACAGCAGAGATCCCAGCCTTGCTGGCTCTTCGGTTCTTGTTTTTAAAGCAATCCTTATTTTTGACCAGCTTTTTTTCTAAAAGTCAGTCAGCTCACCACTGTGGATTCTTCCCTGGCTACCTGGCCGTACACACTTCCCAACCTCATGACACATCACTTGTATAGCTCTTCATCACTCACCTCCTCCTTCACCATGGAGCAACACCAAAGCCTTCTCGTGTCCTCCGTGGAGCCCTGCCAGGACTGCATAGTCCTCAACTTACCATTTTGCTCTTATGACCCTCAGAACTTCAGGGACTCACTTTCTCCCACAGCATGTAGCCAAAAGAGAGAGGGTTTCCTTCCTAAGAGGGATATGGTATCAGCTCTTCAAATACCATTAAATTTTTGTTGTCTGCACTCTTATGGTTTTGGAAAATGGAAGCAGTATAAAATGAAAATTTTTGCAAACTCAGTGTGATAACCTTCATATATTAAGCATTCAATACATATTTTAGTGGTTAACAATTTTTTTTTTTTTTTTTTTT